TGTATATATTAGGGGTGTAACGGTTCACAAAATTCACGGTTCGGTTCGGTTCGATACGACACAGTGGTGTCACGGTTCGGTACGTTCTGTACGGGGGTAATTGGTTACGTCGCAATGCCGGTGAACGTCTTAATCTCAATCAATTCACTATATGCAGAAAGTGAAAGTAAAAACGGAATGACGGAGTAATGACGGAGCATTATTCTCTCAGAGATGACGAGAGACGAATCTACTTCAACATAACAGTATATAGCTAACTGTTTTCATTTATTCCATTAATATTTCTCTTGTGGCCTGTACATAGTGGAAAAAAATTTGATTAGTTGATTATAGGCCTATAATTCATTGTATAATAGACCTGTTTTAAAAGTAAACAGCCTAATCTTTTGTTATCCTCGCAGCGCGTCAGTTATGCGGTAATTATTGTGGGGCAAATTAATTGTAATTTTAATTTAATAAAAGTAACTTCATAACAATAATAGGCCTAATAAAAATAAGAATGTAACAGGCCGGCCTACATTAATTGGAAATGCCAAATATCTTAATACTGCCAACAACTGATGTTTTTGACAATATATCTGGCTATCGTCGATACAAGATCATCGTCTTTCGACGCACCCCAGCAAGAGGAGGTTATCACGGGGCAGACAGCACGTCGCCTGTTACGTCGTTTAGGCTGCCTTGTTGAGCGTAGTGGCACTGAGAACATTATATTTCACACACTTTAAACTCTTTTAGTTTCCAAATGTAAGAGGATTAGTGCAACGAATTGAACCAAAAGCCTCGTAACGAACGGTTCAATACGAATATGTGTATCGTTACACCCCTAATATATATATATATATATATAATGTATTTCTTTTTTTGTTTATTTAAATGTGTGTGTGTGTTAATATAATTCATATGAATATGTCTATATATACACAAGCAAATATACACATCTGACTGTTATTTACTATACAATCAATATGAACAAAAACTATATTATATAAAACTTTAAGTAAAATGATATAGAAAAATAATATTTTTTTTTATACTTGAAATAAAATAAACATTACCTGAAACAAAATAATACATATAATAAACTTTAAACTTATTTTATTTCAGCTAGTTGCAAAGGTAACTTTTCTCATTTTCATTCATTTGTGTGTCTAAATATAAAAACACATACATTTTATATTAGATTTCATATTGCAACCAAAATCATTATATGTATATACTGTATGTATAATGTTTATGTATAACATTATAAAAAATTAACAAAAAATAATAATAAAACAAAAAAAAATAAAAATGTATAAAAACTATACTGACATTTAAAAATACAACAACAACAAAAAACCTAAAATTGTAACTAAAATTTAAATGAAAAGGGAAATAAAAATTTTTTAAAAAAAATCTGCAGATGCAGTCAGATCTTATATGTATATACTGTATGTATAATGTTTATGTATAACATTATAAAAAATTAACAAAAAATAATAATAAAACAAAAAAAAATAAAAATGTATAAAAACTATACTGACATTTAAAAATACAACAACAACAAAAAACCTAAAATTGTAACTAAAATTTAAATGAAAAGGGAAATAAAAAAATCAAAAAAAAATCTGCAGATGCAGTCAGATCAGTAACGGTTTCGGCCCTCGAGGACCTGAAGCCATTAGCAAACACACAGGAGGAATCAGACATCATGAGGCGTAACGCTGCACCTCTCCAGAGAGTCACCTCAACACAGCACACTCTCTCTAGATGAACTGCATCCACTCACTGAGCGCATCAAATACACGTCAGTGTGCTATGAGCTTCTGAACTGTAGATTAATACAAGTTTGAGTGTAATATGAAAGAAGGAGATATTATGGTAAATGCATAACAATATGCATGCAATTTTGATGCCACTATGTAACTACAATCTGTGTGAAATTACATGTTTCATGTGACGTGACCCAGTGTTATTTTAATATTTTATTACAGTATTTAGTGATTTTATTTAAGGTTATATTATAATCATTTTAAATTTGTTTTATTTTATTATATTTAATTTTAATTTTAGTTTAATAATTTAGTTTTTTTTAATAAATTAGTTTTTGTCATTTTTATTATTTTTATGTCAATATAGTTTTCATTATTTTTTATTTCAGATTTAGTTTTAATTATTTAAGCACATTAAGTTAAACTAAATGAAAATTAGAAATGTTGCTTTGACAACTAGCTTATATAAAATAAGTAAAAAAAAATTCATATTTTATTTTATTTCAGGTAATGTTTATTTTATTTCAAGTAAAAATATATTATTCTGAATTAATTTTTATTTTAAATTTTCCATTTTCATTTTAGTTAAGGTGTTAGTAATTTTGTTGTGTATTTTTATCAGTTTTGTTAGTTTTTTTTTTTCTTAAATGTCAATTTAGTGTTCATTATTTTTAATTTCAGATTTAGTTTTACTTATTTTAGTACATCAAGTTAATATTTCTTTGGCAACTAACTGCAATAAATTAAGTTTAATGTTTTATTTTGTGCAATGTTTATTTTATTTAAAGTAATAAAAATGATGATTTTGAATTCGTTTTTAGTTTCTATTTTCCACTTTCATTTTTGTTAAAGTTTTAGTAATTTTTTGTTTTTCTGTCATTTTTTTGTCAGAAATTAATTTATTTTGATTTCAGATTTAGTTTTAGTTATTATCAGTTTAAACTAAATGCAAATAAGAGATGTCGTCTTGGTAACCAGTTCAAATGAAATAAGTTTAATTGTTTTATATTTGATGTTATTTCAGGTCGAAGTCATTTCAAGTAACAGAAATGTTTTTTATGATTTTAATTTACTATAATAATCCTAACGCGGGCACAACAGTTTTCAGTATAAATTGTTTGTGAAACCATTCTTACATAAAAGTCTAAGATAGTTGCATTTAATTCTATATAAAATGATTTACAAAGAAAAGTGCTTCATCAATGAGTCCTGGATATAAAAAAAATACATTATATTTATAATGACATACTTCAACTTTAATATTTCAGATATTTAAGAGACACTTTACTATTAAGTGATTAGATATGTTTTAAATGATTGGATTTATGTGAGATACATGACATGGTACATATGAAGTCTCTGTAATGAATAGAGCGCTATACAGATGAGCAGAAAGCACCTGCTGAGCCGAGAGCTCAGATCCTCAGAAACATATCTGCGACGCATCGCACACAAGTCAAGCAGCGCTGACACACTGAGCAGGGAAATAAATATCAGGCAACTCTTACACTGTGTTGCATGACTTTCCACACAATCCTCTGGCAGGCATTGAAAAGAGGGAGAGAAAGAGACGAGAGAAATAAATGCATTATATATGGGGTCCAAAATACTGAGACTAGTGGGTTTTTTAGGGTTTTGTTTATTTAACCTTGAAAGCTTGAAAGCATCATTAAAGCTGAAGGAGATAAACCAGACCAAATAAGAAAAACCTAACAACTAAAACATGCATATATATATATATACATAAGAGTTCATTTGCAAAAACCGATAAACGCCACTTTAAAACAAATGAGCTGATTGCCGTGCATTATTCTCCACACTTATGCTCTAAACAATGTAATGACATGAAAAAATACTAAATTCACAAAGCTTTTTATTTCTGGTTCTCAGATATGAAGAGCTCATTTGCAAAAACCGATAAACGCCACTTTAAAAAAAATGAGCTGATTGTCGTGCATTATTCTCCACATATAGCGCGATCTGAACCCTAAACACGTTTTGTCCACTTTCAAGGCATCGCGAATTCACGTTTTACTGCAGAAGCCGACAAGCGCCCTTGTTGTTTTTGAACAGAAGCTGATGAGTGCATTTCAGCGAATCAGTGCGCTGTATTCAGGTCAGCTGACAAGGCTACTTTCACTTTGAAAAGACGTGCTAGACTAGCTGAGAGGAGTTTCGTCAAAGCTGACTAAAAGTGATCGAGGACGGATAATTTCGATGAACCTGTGATATCTTCTCCAGGGCGAAAAAGGAAAGTAAAAGCTGAAGGGTTTTCACGAAAGCTTGCAAAAGCAGCGCGTTACAATAGTAACTTGTAATAGTAAAAATTTAGTTATCGATTTTTGCAAATGAACTCTTCATATATATATATATATATATATATATATATATATATGTGTTTGTGTGTATTTTTATATTTTTATATACGCCAATCAATAGAGAGTCTTCACTAACGGTCAAGAGAAAACAAGAATTAATTTTGCCATCAGCGTGAACGAAGGTTACAGATAATGGTTTCGTCTCAAAACCTAGTGTGCTGCCTACGTAGACAGTATTTTAAGACATCATAGATGTGATTCAAAGGCAAAATGTCAGCAGTTATTTAAGATTCCTCATTTTAATACAGCATCACATTCAAAAGTTTGGTTCTAATATTTTTGAATGCCTCTTCTGCTCAACAAGGCTGCATTCATTTGTGACCCTGCAGCACAAAAGCAGTGTTAAGTCGCTGGGGTATATTTGTAGCAATAGCCAAAAATACATTGTATGGGTCAAAATTATTGATTTTTCTTTTATGCCAAAAATCATTAGGATATTAAGTAAAGATCATGTTCCATGAAGATATTTTGTAAATTTCCTACCGTAAATATATCAAAACTTAATTTTTGATTAGTAATATGCACTGCTAAGAACTTCATTTGGACAACTTTAAAGGCCATTTTCTCAATATTTAAATTTTTTGCACGCTCAGATTCCAGATTTTCAAATAGTTGTGTCTCGGCCAAATATTGTCCTATCATAACAAACCATACGTCAATGGAAAGCTTATTTATTCAGCTTTCAGATGATGTATAAATCTCAATTTCAAAAAATTGACCCTTATGACTGGTTTAGTGGTCCAGGGTCACATTTGATCAAAAATACAGTAAAAATATTATTACAATTTAAAATAGCTGTTTTATATGTGAATATATTGTAAAATGTAATTTATTTCTGTGATCAAAGATGAATTTTCAGCATCATTACTCCAGTCTTCAGTGTCACATGATCTTCAGAAATCATTCTAATGTTCTTTTGTAACATTCTAAATGTCTTTAATGTCACTTGTGATCAATTTAATGCACCCTTGCTGAATAAAAGTACTAATTTCTCCTAAAACATCAGGGTGCCTCTGCAGGCAGTTCAGGAGGTTTTAGACGGAGCCCGTGTTTCCCGCAGGTACTTGAGTCTGATCACGCTAGATTTGCTCTTACCAGGCGGTCGAGGCGAGTGGCGTCCGCGGCGGTCGGAAGCTCCTCGGGGTTGTAGGGACTGAAGCGGCCGCTGAATGTGTCGGAGACGCCGCGGGCCGACCTGCTCATTCCTGAAGGCTTCGGCTGTCCACAACCTTGGAAAACCTGCAATTACACAAAGAGTTTGAGGAGTGCGTCTGCATTCGGCTGAGCGGAGAAACACAAACACGCTATTCTCACTCCAACATCAAATGACGAAGGAAAACAATATGGTTATGTCCAACTTAGCTGCATCTTTCGTGCCTAAAATCGGTTTCATTCTCAACCACATGTTATTTCATGGCTTTAAATCAGAACTGTAAACACCATATACACCATATGAGGGGGAAATGTCGCCCCTTAAATTCACAACAGTGGTAGACCGATATGAGTCTTTCAATCACCAGTTCTTACATTTATTAAATTGGTTCCACTAATGTTGCATATTTGTTTATATCTTGGCTTTAAATATGAACAATTCTGAAAACATTTGGGTAGTTGATGCCGCACATGCCAGTGCATTAGATTTGAGGTAATTTTTACATCAATATAGAAGAGAAAACTGCATATTTTGGGGTGAATTTGAAGTAAGAGAAAATATTATTTTGGATACATTTTTGTATGAGTATATAAGAGAAAATCTTTAGTTTTAGATGAATTTTTATATGAACATATATGAGGAAAATGTCAATTTTTAGGTAACTTTTTTATGAATATATAAGAGAAAAAAATTATATTTTTATGTGAATTTGAATATGAATATATAAGAGAAAAACTATATTTTTAGGTGAATTTTTATATGGATACATAAGAGAAAAAAATATTTTAGGTGAATTTTTATATGAATACATAAGAGAAAAAATATTTTTCGGTGAAGTTTTATATGTATAATTTTGGGTGAATTGTTATATGAATATATAAGAGAAAAATGTATATTTTATGTGAATTTGAATATGAATATATAAGAGAAAAACTATATTTTTAGGTGAATTTTTATATGACTATACAAGAGGAAAATGTACATTGTCAGGATTAATTTTATGTACATTTATAAGAGAACAAATATATTTTTAGTTGAATTTTTATATGGATACATAAGAGAAAAAATATTTAGGTGAATTTTTATATGAATACATAAGAGAAAAAATATTTTTAGGTGAAGTTTTATATAATATTTTATGCGAATTGTTATATGAATGTATACAAGGAAAATGTATATCTTTCAGTGAAGTTTTTATATGAATACACAAGAGAAAATATATATTTTGGGGTGAATTTATTTTATGAATATATAAGAGAACAAATGTATATTTTAGGTGATTTTTTGTAAGAATATTTATGAGAAAAACGTATTTAAGTGAATTTTTAAATGAATATATAAGAGAGAAACATTTTTAGGTGAACCGTTATATAAATATATAATTGGAAAATATATAATGTTTAGGTAACATTTTATATGAATATATAAGAGAAAATGTATATTTTAGGTGAATTTCTATATAAGATAAATTTTTAATTGTTTAGCTGAATTTTATTATAAATATATGAGAGATTTTTTTTTTTGTGCCATGACCTGGCACAAACAAATAATGTTTTTTGTGCCATAACATTATTAATGTTAACTAAAGCTAAAACCATAAATATTTTCACTATTTAAAATAATAAAATAAAATAAATGTTAACTGGAATAAAATAACATATAAAAACAACAACAACAAAAAAACAACGTAAAATAACTAAAACTAAATAAACTAAAAACAAAATTTATTTAAAAACGTAAAAAAAAACCTAAAAAAAACACAACAGTAAAATTATTAACATTTAAAGTAAACAATGAAAGTGAAAATTTAAAATATAATAATAAAATCTAACTCAAGATATTAACAAAAACTACAATATACCAATGCTATTTAAATAACACTGTCCGTGGCTGATTTTTCTGAATTTGAATAAACTTTTCACATTCACTAGCTCACTTTAAATGGACTTGCCATGTAAAACCAATGGTTTACTTGTAGTTGTCTCTGCATATTAAAGGATAAGAGAAAGTATTTTAACAACCATGACACACATCAACTTCAACTATTCCAAGAAGTTGAAATCCCGCGAGGGGGCCGAATAACGGCATCTCCTGTGTGATTTAAACCACGCTCTGCCATTTTTTCTCCTCCAAAAACTGCAATTAGTGGCTGCGTCAGAAATGCAGAGAGATGCAGGAGACACATTTACTGGCCCGAGCGCCGAGCTACAAATTTCTGACCATCCGCAACTATGCTGTTAAAAATAAGACTGGAAGCGGGATGAGAGGCTTCGGGTTCGGAGCTGAAGCCAGCAAAAGCCACAGATCACTTAATTCTAGGCTTGCTTGTTCAAGACGTGATATCACAACATGATGATTATGGAGGAGCGCAGCTGCTGGATGGGACATACTTGATAGGAGAGCTGCATGCTGTTCTCCTGCATGTTCATGATGGCTTCGGATATCTTCACATCGATGGGCTCCATGACGGACTCGATGTTGAAGGGCCCCTCCAGGCGCTCCATCACGAGCAGCATGGCATCTGTCAAAACACACAAACCAGAAGAAAGACAGACAGATTGTGTGTTATTTAATAGCCAGTGATAGTCCACCTGGAGACTGCAATGCATTTGGTTAACAGCTCAAAACATTAATTATGAGCTTTCATGCCAAACATGTCCAGGTCACATTTCACCCCAAATGAAAAAATGTCCACAAGTGCCATGAAAAAAATTGTCCTTAAAATAGGCTTTATTTTCTTTTAGGCAAAATATAATTCCTAAAAAAAAATGCACAAAAATTCTGCAAAAATGGTCCTCAATATGCGTTTTATTTTATTTTTTAGGATAAATATAATTTATAAAAAAATGTACAGTCCTTAAAATAGCTTTATTTTAATTTTAAGCACAATATAACTTCTAATAAAAGTCCTTAAAATAGCGTCTCGGTTACGTATGTAACCCTCGTTCCTTGAAGGAGGGAACGGAGACGTCATGTCGGTGACTGACAAATTGGGATCTCGCTTAGAGAGACCAATCCCTTCGAGTGTAAACTAAACAAGCCAATGCACATTGGCATGTGATGATTGCATCCAGCTGCCGCTGATCACATCGTGAGCATAAAAAGGCAGCCGGTGCAACGCATACCAGGTTTTCGCTGAGGAGTCGAGCCGGTGACCCAACCGCTCAGCAGTGGCACAGCAGCCGTGGCGACGGGACGTGACGTCTCCGTTCCCTCCTTCAGGGAACGAGGGTTACATACATAACCGAGACGTTCCCTTTCAGTCGGTCACTCTTGACGTCATTGGGAATCCTTACCAAAGCGCCATGGATCCTGCCCCTTCCATTGTCCTGTGCGAGCCTCCTGCACCCCTGTTTGGTGTAGGCGGGGGCTCGCAACAAGAAGACCAGTCACCCTTGTCGTAGCACTACCCACTCAGTGAGATTGGATAACACTGGGAAAACGTATCCGTTCTTCTTGGAACAGGAATTTACCGTGGACTTTACACATATGGGATCCACTTAGGTCTCTACATATGGAACCCAGCCCTCTACTGGTTCTCAAGGATTCATCGAGTGAGGGCCTGGCACCGGATGTTCCGCCACGTCTGGCTGCCGAGTGGATGGAGGAGCTTGACAGGGCCTACAATACGGACACTCTGGAGCAGTTTTAGCAAGCCGACACTAAACCGAGGCTTCTCATTGCCTCTACCTGTTTGAGGTGAGAACACAGGAGGATACCGGCTCCACACGAAGGCTATAGAATCTAGCGAATGTGTTGGGGGTTGCCCAGCCAATAAGGCTCTACAAATATCTGTCAGCGAGGCGCCACGAGCCAGCGCCCAGGAGGATGCAACACTTCTAGTAGAGTGAGCTCGCAACATGAGCAGGCAGGGCACAACCTGTGCCTGACCCAAGAGGGTATAGAGGGGGGCCGGGGAGGATTTAACCTTCTCGCCCCCCTAAGGAACCTGATGACCAGGTCATCCTTCCCTACCAACTTCCCTTCCACGGGGTCATGGTTAGCAGCAAGCGCAGCGACATAGACTTTAAGGGTGGAGGGAGACAGCGTTCGCTTCAACCCTTGCTGCAAAAAGGAAAGCACGACCCTGATCGGGCATTTCCGGGGGTCTTCTCGGTGAGAAGAACACCACTCGACTAACAGGTTCCACTTCAAGGCGTAAGTGTGTCTCGTAGATGGTGCTCTCAACGAAGTGATGGTGTCAACTACCTCCTGGGGAAGGTCACCTAGAACCTCCGCGTCCCGTCCATTTGCGAAGGCCCCGCGGCCAGCTGTGTGCCAGTGCATCCGTGCCGAGTGTTCCTTCGGTCAGGGAGTAAAACAACTGGCAGTGAGAAGTCTCTGGAGATGCAAACAGGTATACTTGAGCGTCTCCGAAACGTCTCCAAATCAGCTAGGAGCATAGCTCGTGACAGCTCGTCGGCCGTACGGTTGAGCAGACCCGGAAAA